ATAGGATTAAAAAGCCAACATCCGTACTAATATTAGACTATTGTACAGTAAGGTCTAAAATTTTGAGTTCAGTTTTAACATCATTGAGCCAGAAAGAAGTACCCACGAAATTACGATCTCCCACAATCTTCCCAGATGTCCTCCAGGTTCCTGTCAGTCTGCATCAGAAAATGTTCCCATCTGCTTTCTCTCTCTGTCACACAGACCAGTTGCACTTTACCTGGTCCCCAGCCTGACCTTGCCAGACTGTGCTGCTATTCATCATACTCACAAATATATCTTCCTGCAGGAGGCAGAGGACACTCATCCTTCCTTTACTAGAAATCCCAACTCCACATCATTTTTCACTCTTCTCCAAGGGCTAATTTCATGTGGGTTTGCATAATATGCACAGTGAATATAATGAGCATTTGCCTTCAGTTTCATCCCACCATGCTGAAAGCCATGCCTATGGTGGTCTTCTACTACTCAGCACAGAAACATCCATGCCTTACCAGTGGACTGAAAACGAGCTGAGCAGAAAACATGTATGTGATTAAAAGGAGTAACATTAAATTTTTTAAAACTTATTTGTGGTGTGTATGTTCATGTTTGTATATGGAGGTCAGAGATCAACATTGGTTGTCTTCTTAAGTTTCTCTCTACCTTCTTTTCTGAGACAGGGTCTCTCAATGAACCTTGAGCTTCAGCTGAATTGGCTAGCCAGCGAGCCCGAGAATCCCACCTCCTCTCCATGTCTCTACAGTACTGAGATTGCAGGAAGGGTCTACTGTGTCCAGTTTATATGGGTGTTGGTGATTGGATGTTGGTCCTTCTGCATGCCTGACAAGCACTGTAGCACTGAGTCATCTCCCCAGCCTCTGTTTTTCATCTTATAATATTTAAATATTTTCTATGAAAATGAAAACCTTGATGTATTTTAATCATTGTTACTTTTGGCTATTTGAAGATAATAATATGACTCTCTTAGTGTTTATCATAAAAATGCCATTTCCAGAAGATCATAAAATGAAACTGCTAAATCTGATGACTTTTCTGTTGGAAATGATGAGTTATCAACTTTTTTTTTTTAACTCAAGACTTTTAAAATGACACATGGACAGTATTTTGCTTTGTTTATTAAAGTTTTTCTACCATGGTAGAAATGGTATTAAATTTTACTGGTGTTGCTATATCCATGTGTAATTATTACTCTTTTCTTCATTCCATATAATTTGTGAGGTGTACCAGAGCAAACTCATCTTCTTTAATTCCACTGTAGTTCCTCAGAATTTACCCAGGCATTTGCATAGTCATAACTTTTTGATGGCAGTTTGCTTATCTCACAATCTATTTCAACTTTAGCTAGTGAAATATCAACATCCAGTGCATATTTGTACAAATACACATGAGCTCATGCAATTGCATATGTCTGCACTTAACAATTTTAATTGATAAAGAACAATAAAACCATATTACTTGTTCATATACATGTAGCACTTATTTCAGAATCGGGGGAAGAGGCATAATTTAAGAAGGATGTAGAATCCACAACTAAAAGTTTGACAGTGTAGCAGAAAGTACAGACTCAGGGAAGGGAGAGGGCTGAGGGTAAGTAGGAGCAAGGCTCTGGCTGCTGAAGAAGACTGAATAAACAAGAGAAGAGAAGTAAAAATGCTTCACAGGACTCAAATTATTCCCATCAGGACTTTATGAAGATTGGGGCAGCTGGAATAGAAAAGTAAGTTCCAGTAAAAGCAGTTTCAATCAATCATTTCTGAATGTGCATTGAGAGATTATGTGCTTGGCTATCTCAGCATGACAGCAATAAAAAAATCATTTTGGTATCAATAGTAAGGAAGAATGTTGGTGAATATTATTTTAAGGTGTGTTATTTTTGTTTATGTTGCATTTGTTTAGCTCTGTGAAGCTGTGATACTTTGCCTGTCTAAAACACCTGATGGTCTAATAAAGAGCTGAGTGGCCAATAGAGGGGCAGGAGAAAGGATAGGTGGGGCTGGAAGGCAGAGAGAATAAATAGAAAGAGAAATCTGAGAGGAAAGAAGGAGTAGCCAGAGAAGGAGAAGGACCTAAGGGGCCAGCCACCCAGCTACACAGCAAGCCACGATGCAAGAAATAATGAAAGGCATGCAGGAAAAGAGAAAGGTAAAAGCCCAAAGGCAAAAGCTAGATGGGATAACTTAAGTAAAGCTGGCTAACTATAAACCAAGCTAAGGCTAGGCATTTATAATTAATAATAAGCCTCAGCTTGTGATTTATTTGTGATCTGGATGGTGGGCTCCCCCCAAAAGCAAAAACAAATAACAACAGAAGAACCTACTAATTAGTAAACAATTAGTTGCAGTTCACCAAGTCAAAGTCATTTAGAAAAGAAAAAATGAAAATTAATATAAAATGGGCTAAGAATGATTAAGATGGACATGAAGAACTCTGATGCCAACCTTTGTGCTACAAGAAAATGATCTGAGATTAAATTTAAGTTTTTAAAACAACTATTTTTCTAAAGAAACAAATTTTAATAATACTAAATAAAACATCAAAAACAGGCATACACAAAGAATACCAGAAAATTACAAGCAGTAATAGAACGTATATGGCTATATAAAAGAAGAATTAGACCGCCATAGGTAAGAAAGGAATTGAAGAATTTAAAAAAGGCAAAATTTAAAATTATATTAAGAGAGCATAGGAGTGTTCGTGTCTCTTCCCTACTCAAAAGAGCAAGAGATGCTCGGTCGTTAAGAGTCTCTTTCCTTGGACCTGAGTTCAGTTTCCAGTGTCCACATCAGGTGGCTCACAAGCACCTGTAACTCCAGCTCCAAGGAGTTTTGAAGAGAATCCTCACATGTGGCATGTTCTCCCCCCCCCCCCCTCTCTCTCTCTCTCTCTCTCTCTCTCTCTCTCTCTCTCTCTCTCTCTCTCTCACACACACACACACACACACACACACACACAGGGTGGGGGTAAAATAAATCTTTTTTTTTCCAGTTATCCAATAAACACATTCAGACATTTTCTTACATAAAATGTGATTAAAAATAAATCACTAATTTATTAAACTAGCAAACCCCTAGCAGAAGTCTATAAAGTTTTGTCCTTACACCCACAGATAAGTGAACTCATAACCCCTCATCAAGGAAGCTTCTCTTTGCAACAGACAGAGACCATTACAAAAAACCACAATGAGCAAAAATACAGAGTTGTGGATCCCAGTCCCAGTGGATAAATTTGCAAAACACTTCAGCACCCAAGACTCAGGGAACATTGTAGAAAGGGGGTGGAAAGATTGTAAGAACCAGAGGATCAGGCAATTTGTTGTGAGATAGTGTCTCCTGATAACATCAGAAGTTATACCCATAAAGTCTCATCAGCACATCTGCCTAATGTAAGCTGAACAAAGATGACACCAGGGAATATGCCAAACTGTATGGGAAACCCATAAGACCCCAAGTCTACACAGAGGACTACAGGCGACTAAGGAAAGCTGGGGATCCAAGAGGTGCCTTCCCCAGAGAAGAGCACAATTGATTGTCCAGTGCATAGTACAGGTAGTGTTATACATAGTGAACAAGTTATATTTAGAAATAGGTATGTATATATATATACATATATATACATACCTATTATATATATGAATATAATAATATAATATATAGAATGTAATAATAACTAGTGAAAAAAGAGGCCATGAATTGGAAGGAGATGGAGGAGGGGTATGTTGGAGAGTACAAAGGGAGTAAAGATAAGAGAGAAATGTAATTATATTATAATCTAAAAAGTCAGGATGAAATTATAGATTTAGTGTTGCTGTAAGAATCAGAATGCTTTCATAGGGATAAAGACTTACATTTATAGAATTGTTCATATGCACACACACCAAAATCAAAATCAATTCATCTCATCTATCTCTGTTACAATACTTTTATAGTCATTTGTAAAAAGAGAGAAATAGCTTTATATTTATTAAGTAAAAAATACATGTTGGTTTAGGCTGTCCATTTAAAGTCTTTAAATAATTTATCATTCACTTAGGTATTAAAAAATACACATTTAAAAGTAAAGCTGGAGCATTTTGCATTTTCTGTAAAAATACAATCAACAGGATGTCCACTGAATGTTTTCAAAAGCTTTATTGAGCTGTCAGTGGTATACTAAACTCCTACATACTTTTAATATCCATAATTTGATGAATTTGGACACATTTATGAATCTCCAAAACTATTATTATAATCTTCATAAATGTCCCTTGTAGTTGGAAGTTTTCTGTGTCACAGCTGGCCGGCAGTTGAGACAAATCTTTCCCAGTCACATCCCCCAAGTAAACACACAGAGGCTTATATTAGTTATAACTGCCCAGCCATTAGCTCAGACTTATTATTGACTAGCTCTTACACTTAAATTAATCCATAATTCTTATCTATGTTTAACCACGTGGCTTGGTACCTTTTCTCAGGTCTGCCTTATTTGTGTCTGCCTGGTGACTCCTGGACCTTTTCTTAGCATTCCCCTGGGCTGCTCGCCCCACCTGTACTTCCTGCCTGGCTACTGGCCTGTCAGCATTTTATTAAACCAGTGTTCAAGCGCATTATCCCACAGCAGTCCTTTCATTCCAAAAGCCATTGCCTCTCCCCGCTTTTTTTTCTTCTGGTGTTGCAAGAACATTTAACATGAGATAATCTACCTCCTACAAAAATCTTAATTTAACTATTTAGATAATAACAGATGATAAATGAAAATAAAAACCGGCATGGAAAGTAAAAAGAGTGAATTATATCCTTGCAAGAAAAGGAAAGCAAGATTTAGATATAAATGTAAAGATTTTGAACAACAAAAATGAATGAACAAAAAAATGAAAAATAAGTAACTTAGAGACTAATCATAAGAAATTGTATAAAATCATGACAAAAGATGAAATTGAATTTATCAAACTGGTATAGCAAGCACTATTAAAAGACCAAACTCATCAGTATTGATTTATTTTGTGAAATTAATCATGATTAAGGAGTTAGAAGATACTAAGTTGAGCGCTTTCATTTTTATCTGCAGCTGTTCTCTAAGTGTTTAACACAGAAGGACTCTGCTCAGTCACAGAAAATAAACTGAAGTACGATATTACTCCTCTGAAAATGCTGTCTGAATCCAGCCTGTGCCTGGCCAGTGGTCCCTTTATCCTCCTTTCTGCAGGCATCCCTGTGACAAGCCTAGTGAGAAGTGGCCTGCATTCTATCCCCAAGCCGCATCAGGCAACCCGGCTGTGTCCGTGGGCTGCCTACAAGGACCAGTTCCATCTTTCTGCCACAGGATCCCAGAAGAGTAAAGACATTCGCAATCCCACAAAGCAGCGCTTGTCACTCATGGTACAGAAGCCGGAAGGCAATTGCAATCCTCTCTTACTTCCTGCGATGGAATCAAACTTTGAGCAGGATCTCAGTCTCCATGTGGTTCCTCAGTGGGGTCAGCTTCTAGCTGCCCACAGTGCTGGGCAGTTCACGACTCACATTCCTTTATCCTTCCTCTTCCTCTTCTCCACTCTTGACAGAAAACACCTCGTCTTCTTGAAACAACTTCCTCATAAAACACCTGCCAGTTTTTAGCCGCTGGGGCCAAGCCAATTGTGCTAGAAATAAAAGAACACTTTCTGGGTTTTATGATCATCTAAGAAAATACTGGTGTAGTCTCTCTGTGACAAGCTCAGAGTCTGAGTGAGAGAAAGTAGCTTCAGTGACCTGATGGCAGCAATCTGAAGATGAGTCTAAGTCAATTAAGGTCAGCATGCAACTGAAATGACATGTCAATTTCCTACCAAATTCTTACAAATAGTAACAGTTCCTCCATTAAAAAATTTCACTGATGATTATCTGGGTATAACTGATTCTGCTGAAGCCAGAGTCATCTTTAAATATAATAGAGACAATTTGAATCTACATTCTCTGTCTCTTTTTCATTTATTATAAATGATAAACTCATTTTATTTATTATAAATTATAAACTCAAAGGAAATTCAACAAAACAAAACAAATAAATAATATACTGCCACAAACCCAACATTGTTTATTATTTACTTTTGATTGAGTTCTTGGCCTGTCTCACTGCCTTTCGTGCTCTTCTTTGAGCCCTTAATTGAGACGCTATAAGAGTTGCAGTTTTCTGAGTTATTAAATATTACCTTCAAAATGAATGAGGAATAATTTATGTAGGTTAATTGTTGGGAGCTAACAAGCAAATACATTAAATCCTATTGATAAATTTCTATATTTAATTGAATCATGTAAGTAATATCAAAAGAAGCTTTATAATTAAGATTTAAAATTCCATGGCATGAAATGGGTTTCTGCCATTACTGATAGTTTAAAACTACTTTTAAATTCTAATGGCATTGAAACGAAAAGTCATGTGTTCATAAACTTATTGCTATAAGCTTTCTCTTATTGAACTACAAAATTTTAACAGTAATCATAAAAGAGCAGAGGATTGTATTTATGTTACATTTATAGTACATTAAAATCATTTCTTAATTAGGATTGATTAAAAAACTCCTTCAACATTTGAATAATATATACATCATTAATGCCATTCCATTGACCAGGTTTTTTTTTTCATTTCTGTAAATATTTGGGATGTTCTAATTTATTGGGTGATAATGTGGTGCCAATGGAAGTATGGTTGCATACTTAGCTTCATATGGGAAATTTTCTTAGCAGTGAGGTCAAATGACTCAGGACAAATACATCATCATCATGAACTCAGGAATCATGTTTCACCTTTGCTGTGTGATGGGTCAGGTCTGTGGCCAAAGACTTATCCTTTGAAGAACACAACACAGTACAGTAGTTTTACAAAGTGTTTGTGTGTGTGTGTGTGTGTGTGTGTGTGTGTGTGTGTGTGTGTGTGTGTTTAAGGAAACATTACTGGGTGAGGGCAGACTTCAGACTGTGGCATAAATGGTGAGAGTTGAGATTTGAATTAATTTTGGGGGGAGATCTGGGGTACTCTAACATAGAGTTAATATTTATTCTGTGACTACTGAGCTCCAAGAACAAAGGCATAATGAAAAGACAATGCAGTGCATAGTACTTGAAAGACACTGGCATGGCTTAGACCTGTGCTCCCAGCAAAGGAGAGGCTGAGGAAGGAGGATCACGAGTTTGAGGTCAGCCTGGACTGCATCTGGAGATCAGTGTCAAAACCAAACTCAAACCAGAAACCCACGCAAATCTACAGCAGCAACAAAAGCAAGACCAAGTAATGACAGAAGTAAAACCCCCAATGAAAAGATGCTTTATCAGAGACCAAGGAGAAAACATTGACAGAATGAAGCAATTTTACTAAGCCCAAAGTTAAAAACAAGCTTTTCATTATGTTATATCAAATAACTACATATAGACTGATTCTATCATCTATCTATCTATCTATCTATCTATCTATCTATCTATCTATCTATCTATCTATCCTATCTATATTTATATCTATAGGTAGATATCAGTAAATATCTGTCTATCAGTTAATGTTAATATTTTTTTTCCCCTATACATGCTGTTTTGCTGAAAGATAAGTTCTGTTGATGCTATGAGACTATGCAGGAATACTTTAATCTCTTAGTAAGTCTTCACTAGTGTGGTAATGGATGGTGAGACTTTTTAGTTTGAACTTCTATTTCACATGCAGTAAGAACACCTGAGAGTACAGAAGGGCTGTGTTGGGGTGGTCTTGATGGAGAGCTGACAGTAGGTGGTAGGTTGAAGAGGCTTTCCCTTTTACTGTCTGCTCTCCCCTCAGCAGTTGACAATAACAGAGGGTATGACCACAACCAAGAATTCAGAGAAGAAATTTCCACTCTACCCTTTAAGTTACTTAGTGGGGGGTGAGTGGATGGAGTGGGTGCTATATCCAGGCAGGTGGCCCTTGGTTGTATAATAAGAAAGAAGACTGTGCACGCCGTGAAGAACAAGCCAGTAAGCAGTGTTCCTCACTTCCTCAGTGTTCCTGCTTCAGTTCTTACCTCCAGTTTCTACCTTGACCTCTTGGCTTGTGTAAATGATAGACTGTAATCTACATGACATTAAAAGCTCTTTCCTCCCTCAAGTTGCTTTTGGTCATGCTAATTCTCACAGCAATGGGGAAGTAAACTAGGAAACATCCAACACTTGGTATTACAAACAAACATTACAGAAGTGAAGTCCTGGAATTCTTGGGGGAAAATTACATATACGATTAAAAATAATTTGATTTTCATTGTTCAGGAGAAGGGCAGAAATATTGTTCAACTTTATGTTTAAATATGAACACTGCAAGTTTTATAGAGAGCTGTTACAACTAGAGAGAAAATACAAATTGTAGAATATTTTAAGGTGTGCTACTTTTGTTTATGTGGCATTTGTTTAGCTCTGTGAAGCTGTGTTACTGTGCCTGTCTAAAACTCCTGATAGTCTAATAAAATGGCCAATAGCAAGGCAGGAGAAAGGATAGGCCTAGCTAGCAACAGGGAGTATAAATAGGAGGAGAAATCTGGGAGGAGAGATCTAGGAGTCAGAGAAGGAGGACTCCAGAGGGCAGCCACCCAGCTACACAGCAAGCCTTGGAATAAGAGTAAGATATATAGAAGTTAGAGAAAAAGAAAAGTCCAGAGGCAAAAGATAGTCAGGATAAATTAAGGAAAGCTGGCAAAACCAAGCTAAGGCTGGGCATTCATAAGTAAGAATAAGCCTCCGTGTGTGATTTATTTGGGAGCTGGGTAGCAGGCCCCCCAAAGAGTAAAAAACAAACAACAATAACAAAATTTATTCAGATCAGTAAAGAAAAACAATTTTGGACAATAGAAAGATAAAATCACACTATTGTAGCAAAACACAAATAAGATAATTGCAATTTCTGTTTGCATTATGAAGGCATTATCAGATTATGAGCCTATAATAAGATATGTCAACAGGAATGGAATTATATTCTATTTATACAATATCAGATTAAATTGCTGAAATTTTGGAAGATAGAACTAATGTTATTATAATTACTTGCTAAAATAAATGGTGTTGCTATATATTATTAGACAAATTAGGCAAGAGGTACTCCTAGGAAATACTGAAAATATAAGAAACCTTCAATTATCCAGAAATATGTATGGTTTCTGACTTTATCATGATATTTACAATGAAATCTTAAAGGACCTGGCAATCTCATATCTCATTTAAAAATTAAATATGTAAAGCCCCAATTATAATTTCCAGGTTCTAGAGATTCTTGGATAAAAGGATGTTTCTGTTTCTATGAAAACCAGTGCATTGGAAGTGGCTGAAGGTCTGTGTGTGTGTGTTGGTGTTGGTGTATATGTGGTATATTTACATGTTGATTTTAAGGATATGCACATGTATGTTCAGGAGCTGTGCACATATGTGTGCACTGATATGAATGCCAGAGGTTGGTGTAGAGTGTCTGCCACGATTGCTCTCTAGCTAACGTTTGGTGACAGGGTCTCTCACTGATGCTGGCTTCATCTCTACAGTTAGACTAGACTGTCTGGCCACAAGCCCCAGGAAGCTTCTTGTCTCATTCTCACTGGTGCTAGGATTATAGACACAAACCACCGTACCAAGCTTTACATGCAGGCTGGAGATCCAAACTTAGGTCTTCATACTTGTGTGGCCCACTGAGCTCTGTCCCCAGCCCAGGCCTGTAGACTCTTTAGCAGAAATTGAGAGGGTTTCCCAAGATATCTGAGATGTAAAAACCTTAGACACAAAACTTAAGATTCTTCCCTTTCCTAATCACAAAAAACAATAAGAATTGTGTGGCTCACCATATTAAATGTAATAATATTAATTTTAAAATTAAATTGTTTCTTGATTCTATTTGGAAAATGTTATGGAAACCTCTAATTCCAAATACTAGCAAATAAAATGAAAGAATTTACCTTCTTTCTTGAAAAATTTGCACCTCAAGCTAAATAAGCAGCAGATGAATATATTTCCCTGTATAGAAACAGAACACAGTCAATTACCAGCAATAATGAAATTATAACCACCACTTTCTAGCCTTGGAATTTGTGATGAATGCAAACAGCATTGGGAAAATATACAATGCAAGGGTCCAAGTGACAACAGCTATATGTACTTGTCAATTTGCAAAGAAAGAAGGAATTATTTGTTAGGTTCTCAGAGCCGCGTATACTTTGACACAAAAAGGAATTAAAAAGCCTATTTTTTTTGGTTTGTAATTTCATAAAATTATGAAAAGTAGACTAAATAGAGAAACAGGGATGCAGTCAGAAAATGTATGGGAATTCTGCAGACATTGGTACAAAGACTGACCAGTTGTGATATGGAGGTTGTTAATTTTAAAGGGTACAACCATAGTGTGGTTACAGTTTTGGAAAGAGTAATATCTTTAGGTTATATAGTGATGTATTTACAGAAGAGACCCCAAGAGAGCAAAGATTCATTTCAAAATAATCACAAGTGGGAAAAAATAAAACAGTACTGGCTGTTTGTTCAAGGTTTGGATGGAAACAGTATCAGTTGTATGATTTGCTCTACTTTGGCTTATATTTCAAAATACCCATAGTACAAAAGGTTAAAATTAAAATAATAAATATACTAATATTCTTCTAAAATTATAATTTTTATGATGATGGAAAACCCTTTGGCTATATTTCTAATTTCAAGAAATTAGAAATTTGCATATATAGTCACAAATAGAATATAAAGTTGAGAAAAAGCAATAAAGAAAAAACATTTGACTCCCTTTTATGTGAGTATTTCATTGAAGAGAGTTCTTTTATGTTTATATCTTTGATGATAACACAGTGGAAAAAAATGACAAGTGCTTGGTAAAATATTAATGCTACTTTAGTAATGGGTAACTTTAGTGAGGAAGGAAGTGCTGTGTTCCTGAGACCCTGTGATTTCCAGTCAGTAGGTCGAACACCATAGTCTTTTGTTTTTATGTGAAGGACATATGTACTTGAATATAGTTGATACATATATACACATATGTATTAAATTAATCATTACGGCTTTGTCATTTTTTTTTCCATTTTCCTTTGCATATGTCTGAGTTTCTGGTGTTTGCACATGTGTACCTGTGTTTTTCTGTCTGGGGCATACCTTATTCATTGAGACAGACTCTCACTTGAACACAGAGCTCAGTGATATGCCTAGTCTGCCTGGTCAGCTTGTTCCTGGGATCCACTATCTCCACCTGCCAAGTGCTGGAATTACAGTTTTGCTGAGGCTTTTCTCCAGATTTGCTTTGGCATTTGTTCAGTTTCATTAAGTTATGGGTCTTATTCTTTTTGAATAGCATATACTAGCAAACACATCACAAACAGTTGGTCAATAGTTGTGGGCATTGACTCTCTACTGCAAGAAAAACAATAATTTAAATGAATATATAATTACACTTCATAAAGATTCTTTGCTATTTCAACAGCTTTAAAATCTTCCAGTCATTTTTATTAATTATAAGTCAGTGATGATTGTAGTGGCACTTATTATGTAACTTAGCACATCTTAAACATCTGCATGATAATTTAATTAAAGAGAGAATTTTCAACATACTTGTTTAACATCCATTGTTTGGATGCATTGACTGAATTCTCATTTGATATTTACGGCCTTCTGAAATTTCCTTAGACAAAATCTTGGAGATTTTCCTTAGGAAATAATAATAGACAACTGAAATTTGGCACCATACAAAGACATAAGCAGCAAAAGTTAACTTGAAAAATATTTACTATTTTTCTGACTTAAAAGTTATAAAAGCCCAAAGACAGAATTAAAAAAAAAGGAAGTTAATCAAACATCTTCAAGTAAATAACTCCTCTCAGAAGAGAGTCCTGGAGGCATTTGTACAGCTAAGGGAAGAGAGTCTAGATGATAGTAAATATTAACCTGAAATGTAGTGAAAACTGAAAATTATTTGGCATATCTTTTTCTGACACAAATGGTTATCTAATTCTCTTTTTATCTGTTCTACTACAAAGGCTTTCTTTAATCTTCTTAAGTTTCCCCAAAGAACGTTTAACTGTGAGGCAGAGTGTCATGTTCAAGGTCTACCTCCTACAATTCATACCATTGTATTCACTCAAATACTTCAGCTGAAGATTTATTTTCCATTGCGATAAAATAACCATTATAATAATTATTCTCTTTTCCTTAGGACTATTGTGAGATCAAACAGTTATATGCATGAAAGTGTGCTTGAAAAGCTTAGGAGTAGGCTTTCTGGAAGGTTAGAGGAGGAGGCAGATAGAGACTGTTACTCTGCTTCAGGCTGGAATCCATGTCCTTCAGTTCTCCTTAACTCCCACAGATGTTGCTAAGGTTGCCATGCTGGAGAATATAGCTCCCTGAAACCATGTGCCTGCTGCTGGGCATGACACCCACTGTAAAGGTTCCTACCAGGACCCTAAAAAGCTGGCCCGGACCTACTTCAGCAACATTTCTGTGGCCAAAGCAGTTCCTGATACCATTAGAACAAGACTTGGACCTAAAGGAATAGACAAAGTGGTTCAAGATGGACAAGGTGATGTAAACATTAGAAATGATGGTGCTACCATTCTGAAACAAATGCAAACATTGCACCCAGCAGCCAGAAATGCTGGTGGAGCTGTCTAAAGCTCAAGACACAGAAGCAGGGAATGGAACCACATCCGCAGTCATCATTGCTGGTTCCCTTTTAGACTCTGTACCAAGATTCAGCAGAAAAGTATTTCCCAACCATAATTTCTGAGTCATTCTAAACAGCTTTAGAAAAGGGTCGTGAAATCCTTACTGACATGTCTTGACCTATATATAACTGAGCAACCAAGGCACTTTGTTAAATAACCTTCATTGAATTCAAAGGTTGTCTCTCAGTATTCAAGTCTACTCTCTCCAATGTAGCCACAGCTAGCAGTGTAGATATTAGAGATATTAAAGTAGTTAAGAAGCTTGGTGGGACAATAGACGACTCTGAGCTGGTGGCAGGCCTCATTCCAGTGGCAAATTATGGCACAACAAAAATTGAAAAGGCTATGATTAGGCTTATTCAGTTTTGCTTCTCTGGATATTCAAATAGTAGTATCTGACTATGCCCAGATGGATCAAGTGCTTCAAGAGAAGAGAGAGATTGTATCTTAAATCTGGTGAAGCCTATTTAGGAAATGGGATGTAATGTCCTTCTCATCCAGAAGTCTGTCCTAAGAGATGTGCTTAATGACCTTGCATTACATTTTCTGAATAAGGTGAAGACTTTAATGGCTAAGGATATTGAGAGAGAAGACATTGAATTCATGTGTAGGAAAATTGGAAACAAACCAGTTGCTCATATTGACCAGCTTACTGCTGACATACTGAGTTCCACTGAGCTTGCTGAAGAAGTCACTTTAAATGATTCTGGAAAACTATTCAAGATTAGAGGTTGTACAAGTCCAGGCAAAATAGTTATAATTGTTGTACTGGTTCTAACAAACTTGTGATTGAAGAAGCTGAATGCTCCATTCATGATGTTTTCTGCATAGTAAGAAGAGAATTCTTGTTGCAAGAGGTGGTACTCCAGAACTGGAACTTGCCCTGAGACTACTGAGTACTTATGAACAAATGGTAAATATTCCTGCTGTGTTCATGTTTTGCAGCTGCTATGGAAGTCATTCCATTGACACTAGCTAAAAATGCTAATCTGAAATCCATTTCTACAGTAACAGAACTAAAACACTGACATGCTCAAGGAGAAAAAAACTAGACACAGTCTGAAGTTAGAATTTCCATCATTCTGGAGGAAATGGTTTTCCAGCCTTGACTGGTATCATTCAGTGCTTTGATCCTAGCAATTGAAACTGTAAAGAGTATTCTGGAAATTGATGATGTGGTAAATACTTGATAATCTGGATAAGGCTGGCCACTGTCACTCTTATGGACAGAAGTACTGTGGCTAGAGTGGAAGATGATCACCTTGACGTTCCTTCTTGTCTGGAAGCTTGCTTCTTCAGAGTTTTTGGACACTGTCTGCCAGTAGGCATCTGATTGAATTTGTACCGAAACAATCTAATGAACATATTAAATACTTGGTTTCAAAAAGAAAAAAACTTAGTATATCAATGGAAATATCATTTGAGAAATGCACCCTATATTTCTAACAAAGGAAGGTCATGTTGGGCATACGGACAACGGTGTTGGCTGATGATAACAGTGGCCAGTTATAACTTTATGTAAAACAGCACTGCTACCATTTTCAGGTCAGCATGTTCAATGGAAAACTTCACAAATAGAGTTTTCTTAATGAACGTTCTTCATATTCAAGGCATCAGCACCAAACACAAGGAAGTTATAGCTCTGATTCTCCTGTCTTTCCTTTCTGCCTATATTCTTTCTTACTTATAAGAACTTGGAAAGCTTAATTATTTTGTGAGCTTCAGTTGTTGCTCTCAGGATCATAATGCCGGCTCTAACTATTAAGTGGGAAGAATGGAACATTTTGCTTGTATATTTGGAAAAAAGACTCATATAATTCAGGCTGGTTTTAAGCTCACTAGATAGTAAAGGCTAGCCTAGAACTTCTAATCCTCCTGCCTCCATCTCCCAATTGCTGGGAACGCATTTGTACTCCACCACACTTTCTGGCTGAAAGAGCAGAACTTAACAAACACAAATACTAAGCAGTTTAATTTTCTTCCCACTTCCATTCAAGTTATACTTGTAGACTATTCTTTCCTAGCAAGGAATCTTAGAGAAGTATCATGACTTCTCCAATCAGAGACCCTGGTGAGGAGGAAGAGGGAGAGGAAGAGGAAGAGGAGGAGCAGGATAAAGTAGCACTCTAGTTACTTCTATTTAAAATGTGTCAGTTCAACGATGAAAATAGCAATCATTAGTCCAGGTCTAACATCTTCATCTCCTGTGCTTGAGTATTATTCAAGATGGAAAGTATATGTAGTGAAAGCAGGTGCTATCCACTTCCACCTCCTGTTTTGTTTGTCCTAACCTGAATCTCTCCTATCTAATCCTCAACAACTTCTCCACTCATTAGTTGGGATGGTAAGAAATTAGGAGAGAAGCTCTGGTGAAATTACATTGACTTTTCCTAGGAAAAATGGATTATCATGATGGACATTTTGGTCTTTCAGTGATTCCTCCACTTTGAATCTGTAGCTGGACTCTCTGTGAAATACTATAGGAATCATTTCTGATGGAGCTCCTTATTTGGATTTGTCCATCAGATTTCATCTTCTTCTATTAGACCTTTCTTCTCCTACTCTATAGTATTTTTATGAAAGACCTTTTCAAAATTTTATATATTCATCATCTATCTTTTATCAATGGAATATAAGATTTTAAAAGGCAATAATTGTCTGTGCTTGATGTGAATACATTTTATGTTATTTTGTGTGTACCCATATGAATGTTCTGTGTATACATGTTTGTGCATGTTTGTGATGGTGTGGTGGTGGTGATGTGTCCTCAGGCACTGACACCTATTACTTTTGGAGGTAGGGTCTCTTACTGATCTGGAGTTCATCAAGTAGACTAGGTTGACTGGCCATTGTACCCAGGAATATACCCGCCTCTGCCTCCCCAGTTCTGTGATTATAAGTGCATGTTGTTTCATATTGGCCATAGGTGCTGCAATAGAGAGAGAAGCTCACCAAGATGTTAAGTCTTCATTTTCTGAAGGAGCAGAGGAGTTCAGCCTTCTTGGAAAAGCCTGACAACCATCTGACTCACTTCAGTTACTTTATTCAAACATATACAAGGATAATCGGGGCTGAGAAAGGTTCCACCTACCAAAGCCATCTTGCTCTTGCTGCCTATGAGACTAAGCAACCCATACAAATCTTAGTCCATAATCAAAAGTAAGAACTCCAAGTATGCCACGAGTGTCTGCAAACTCTCATGTTGTACCAAGTGCAGATGTTCTAGAGAGCCAACATTTCTTCAAGGTTTATACAGTCTCAAAACAATTTCTCAGCTTCTACTGTTCAACCCAAACATAGCAAAGGCTTTGCTGAAACATTTCTCTCAAAGACAGACAAAAAGGCTTTACTATATATTTCACTTAAGCCAGATGCAAAGTCTTTACTATACATGTCACATAAAGCCAGACATAAGGACTTTACTTGATGTATCACCACAAGTGCACTCACCATGCTTGGCTTTTTCATGGAGAGAACTCAGGTTCTCTTGCTTGTTAGGTAATCACTTTATCTACTGAGCCGTCTTCTAGCCCTCATGACTAAGTTTCCTGTCTCTAGACTAGTTCCTGGCATGCAACAGGGGTTCAACAAATATTTCTGAGTAAATGAGTGAATAATTGGGTTTTGGGAGAAAACCACTACGTTGATTGGTGCCCCATTGTCCTTGTAGAGTCTCATTAAGTATGATACAAGATAAACCTGTCCCTTGATATTTTTGTCAGCATCTACAAAAATGAGTTCTTCTAAAAACACTAATGTTTGACATCTGGACATGCAGCTATTTTCAAGTGAGTTCTATATAATGAGCAGTAAAATAACTGTAAAATCCTTTAAACAGTGATTTTCAATTTTTTTATTTCTCTGAGAATTTCATACAATGTTTTGATCATTTTACCCCCTCAACTCCTCCCAGATCCACTGTCCTTTCCCAACTCAACCAATGTGTGTGTGTGTGTGTGTGTGTGTGTGTGTGTGTGTGTGTGTGTGTGCATGTTATACACTGATTGAGTCCAGTTTGTGTTTTCTGTATGTTCTTAGATATGTGACCCTTCCACTAGAGTGTGTTTGACTTGCCAGGCTACATTGTTGAAGAAAACTGACTCTCTTTTCCAACAGGTATCAATTACCAATAACTCCTTGGCTATGGACTGTAGATCTTCTCTCTGTGCTGTGGTTTGGTTTGGTTTGAAGTTGCACAGATCTTTTATGTGTTGTCACAAATGCCACGAGTCTATGTGTGCATCTGCCCTGCCATGTCCTTGTCTATATCCATCACCTCTTTGGATCTGTGCTCTGATAGTCTTTCTTTCCACTTTGCTGCAATGATCCCTGAGTCTTGGGAGGAGAGGGAGTGGTCTACATGTCCCATTTAGGGCTGGGCATTCTGCAGTTTCTTATTCTCTGTACTTTGACCTCTGTTTTAATCACCATCTACTGAAAATAGAAGCTTCTCTAATTAGGGTTGAGAGATATTTAATCTCTGGGCATAATGGTAGCTCATTAGAAGTAGGTTTAATACTATGTTGATTTATTATAATAACAGTCTTAGGTTTTCCTCTTGGGCCTATATCCTGTGTAGACACAGGTTCTTGGCCTCATTTGTAGTGCCATGTATGGGTCCATCTTGTGAAGCTAGACTCAAATCCAAGCAGAAAGCAGTTTGCTACTCCCTTGGCATTTCTGCCACTCTTGCACCAGTGGGCATGTCTTAATGGGCGACTTCTTTTCTTTCTTTCTTTTTTAAGCTGGCCAGGTTCATAGCTGGATAAGGTTCATGATTGCTTTTCTTTTGTGGTAGTATGTATAGCACCCTCCAGCACTATGAAAGCTAGCCTGAAGGTATAAAGCATCTAGGTCAGCTCCAGCTTGATAGCTCCAAATTTATCTATTTATTTGTGTGTGTGTGTGTGTGTGTGTGTGTGTGTGTGTGTGTGTGTGTGTGTTCAAATTACTTCTCACTGGCTTACAGTGAGTATTTATCTTCTCACCCAAATGGGTTCCTCAGCTCTTTATTGGCTCTCTTTTAAGAAAGTCTCCAAACTTCTAACTACCTCTCTTATTAAACTTCAATATTACTGATGTGTATTCTGAGCCTATATTTGCAAAGCAAAGTGGCAGCTAGTTCTCTGGTCAAGTCATTTTCTTTAGATGCCTGCTTTGCTTTCTATCATTAGGGCCTCAGTTTAGCCCTGAGAAGTTCTACTTTGAAATTCTTTTACATTTACCCTGAAAACCTTCTGGTAAGTGTTAAAATGAGATCAAGTAAATCAATCATTTAACAAAATGCTTTCCATAAAACAAAATTTATTTCTTCTTCAATTCTCTTCTTTGAATTATTTATTACTGTTTCTACTAAAATAATAGCTAGAACATACCAAGACCATCATAATATTTCCTTGGAATGCTTTGAGCTTATAAGAAAACCAAAAGACTAATAATTTTTTGAAAATACAAACAAGAGAAAAATAAATAAGAAATAAAACCAAGATCATCATAAATATTTCACATGTAAGTTAGAGTTACAGTATTTATTTTTTCTGACAAGAATATATCATCCTGTGTTACTAATTTTTAAATTTTGCCTTAGATGTGCAAGCGAGACAATTTTAAATTGTCAGAGTCCCATAAATTACTGACTTACTTTAATAGCAGAGGCTATTTTCTGGTATCCAGTGATTAGGTCTGAAATACATTTTATAGCAAAGAGTGAGATTAAATAGGTTCACCTCTAACAGTCTTACGAATGTATCCTCTTAAAAATTAACTATTCATGTTCGGTAGAGAGTGAAATTCATCAGGGACAAATATTGCAGGTGAGCTCATTCTCCAGTTACCTTGATGTATGGAATTATTCCCTTGGGCCTAAATCTAATCAAATGTGACCACAATTCATCTAACACTCTCCTCTGGATCTACGCAACCTGAATGGCATACTAGCTAATGAAATTACTCTAGAGAGCCATTTATAGGAAAGTCCTAAAACCAAGCAATTCTTGAGGAAATTTTATTATATTTGGGACCTATGAGTATCTTTATTTGAGTTATCATTACTCTAGGAATTTGGTAGACAACCTGGGTATATCAGGATGTAATGAAGTAATTTAAACATTTTCCCAAATGCCGTAACCATTTACAACATATTAAACTAGGTAACAGGTATATAGTATGATTTGAGACTTTTAGGGATATCATCCCAACAATAGCAATTGTCAGCACATGTGACTGTTCTGTCTGAAGTGAATTTGTCAGACAGAAATCCTGAGAAGTCCTTGATTTCATATATTCTAAGCACTTACAGGAAACCTGAGACAAACATCTTGAGAGAAAAGTCAAGCAAAAGTTATTAAGCTTCTTAGCCTTCTGTTTGCATCTAAAATCATGTACGCAAAGCCCCATTGAGCATGGCTCCAAGAATGGACTGACCTGGTTGAGTCAGGGAATAAATGAAAAAAAAGCAGACACAGAGACGGAACGCTGGAACTGGGTGGTCTGGTGTTATGGCTGGACAAGCCTCATCATGTCTAAAGCTCAGTGTGCTTATCATGTACAATTAAACACAGAGGTGGGGTTATTGTATACAGATAAACAAGGAAGGATTATTATATACAGCAGCTGTATCAAGGAGACATGTTTAGCTAACCTCAGTAGGAGAAGCATCACAGGTTCTGAAACAACATGAAATAACAGTGTCCTAGAAGATGGAAGAGAAGAGAGTAGTTGCAGATAAATTAAAACCAAACAGTTTCAAAAATTTATCAAGACGAGGAATTAGGAAGATTTGGCAGGGAGAGGCACCTTCTGCCCTGACCCTCAAGGGTGGCCTGCAATTTCTACTCTAGAGGAGAGAGGTTTAAAATAATTGGATTCCATATGGTGAACGGAACATCCTGGAAAAATAGAATTATAACTTGTACAGGGAAGGACAATCTGACATACAGAACAAGTTGGAGTACCAATGTGGCAGACACTCTGATGTTCAGGGTTGATGTGATTGTTTTGAGGATGAGTGTAGTTCTTTCAGGAAATATCTGGCAGTGATCAGAGAAAGCCATAGGTGTGTCATTTGGGGACAGAGGGTAGAGAATGCAGCATGATATTTCAAAAAGCATGACTGTCAGATTAAATTCTAGTAGTGAATTTACTACATACCTTAGAGTTTGAGGTCTATCATTATGATACATAGATGGTGCTCAATAGTTTAAAATTAAGCATACATGTTAAATGTTCCTTCTATTGTATCGGTTGATCATGTTGACAAAATTTTAACCCAGCTTGGCATTGATTTCCCAAATAAATCGAGTTAAATTGTAAATATCTGATTTTTTATTGTCTTTTAAAAATCCACAGTATTTTAGGGTGATAATAAAAGAAAATGTTGCACAGATCACACAAATACCTAGGTTTCTTTTCATCTGGTATTTATTCCTCAATATTTTCATTTTTATATTTATTTTTGTGATATTAAAATGAACACATATAAAACTTTGTCATCAGTGGTAATTAATACCACAGTGTTGTAAAGCCATCAATACTATTTAATTCACTGACATTTTCATGACTACAAAGGGAAATCCATATATTAGGCAATCACTCTTCAAGTACCTCTCCTTAACTCCAATTTCTATGGCTTTTCCACTGCTAGAATTTCTGAAAGCAATCATACAATATGTAGCATTCATGTCTGGCGTCTTTCAGTTTATATATTGTCTTTAAGGTGCCATAAATAGTTGCTATAGCTGTGTATCCCATTATTTATATGGACTGTACTTTAATTATTCACTCATCAAATGGGTACTTAATTTTTCATATTTTGGTAATTATAGGTAGTACTTTCCTCAATGTTTGTGTTCAATATTCATTTGAACAACTGATTTAAAAATCATTTGGCTATAAACACAGGAGTTCTTTCTCTGGATCATATAGTAATTCTATATTTAACTTATCAAGGAATTATGAAATGTCAAACAGCTTTCCATAGCACCTGCATCATTTTACATCAGCCATGGACATGGGCTCCAGTTTACCCATATCCTTGCCCCCACAGTGTAATTTTTCATTGCTTGTTTGTTTATAATTAGAGCCAAACCAGTGGGTGTGAAATTTTGAAATTTAAAACATTTTAGTTTTTATTTACAAATATGAGTGAGGGTGAATTTGTTGGTCATTTGCTTATTGCATTTTGAGAAAATATTACTTAAGAGTTTGGCCCCTTCTTACATTGGATTGTCTTTTCTGTTGTTGAGTTGCAAGTGCTTTTTGTATATTCTGGATACTGCACATTTATCAGATCCGTGCTTTGCAAATACTTCCTCCCACTCTGTGAGCTGTCCTTTGTTTTCTTAGACAGGTTCCAAGAGCTTGGGTCTTCTGCTTTTCTTCCATTGTCTTCTTTCTCCACGCCTTCCCAGGAATGGCTGTGTTCCTCCCTCATGTGGTGATAACAAGTGCTTCATTCTCTTTCCCACAATGCACTAGTCCAAGCACTATCAAACACTGGGGCTCATATTTCAATGGGAACAATCCACTTTCTCAATAAAGTCAGGTTTCTACAAGGAAAAACAAGCCATAGTCTAGTAAAACACAATATTCTCCATGATTTGTTTTGTTGAGGGTAAAAGAATTCCTTCTATTTAGTAGTGATTATTTCTTTTCAATCATTGTACCAAGGAGTTCTACTTCTATAATAGTTATTTCAAGGAAAAAAGGTAGATGCAAGGGTGATTTGAAGGTTTTAAAAAGTTAGCAACCTTTTCTGGGAGCATTGGTACTTTGACACAGGTATACTAAACACAATCCTTACAAGTCTGAACTTGAGATTAATTGTCCCTACAAATGCACAAGTCTGATATTCAATGTGTGCTTAAGCCTTTAGTGTGGTAAAATTAGACCATGTGTGAAAAACTGCTATTGGAGTGAATTAAAATTCAAGAATCAATATCTCTTGTGCATTAACTCTCAAGCATAAAGAAATAACAGAAATGTTAATCTTTGATTCTTTTTTTTTGGGGGGGGGAGGTTCGAAACAGGGTTTCTCTGTGTAGTTTTGGTGCCTGTCCTGGATCTTGCTCTGTAGACCAGGCTGGCTCCGAACTCACAGAACTCTGCCTGGCTCTACCTCCCAAGTGCTAGGATTAAAGGCATGCACCACCACCTCCTGGAGATTTTTGATTCTCACTATTTTCTTTTTTAACCTACAAAGGTATTTCCTTTAGTTTTAGAATACGTGTAGTTCTGTCTTTGTCCCTGTGCAAAGAAAGTTCATTTTCATTTTGACATGTTTTTTCCATTATCTTCCTATAAAAAAGTAGGATGGTAGTACCTACAGAACAGATATTTACTACCTTCCAGAAACAGGGACAGAGAAGTGATTTAAAAAATAAATGCAGCACTCCTGGGAGGATTACACATTGCTGATTAGTTTCACTTTTGGTTTGTTTCACATGTGCCTTTAGTTTGACAACCAATTCTCCACCAAAGTTGAGGGAAGATTTCTCTATTCCTATAAAAAATTACTTTATTAAATGTAGTCTTTACATCAGCTGTGAATATATGGCTGGAAAGCATACTAAATTCATATATAGGCTGAACTTTAACATCACCAATGGGCTTATCTTGTACTCAATTCATTTCAATCTTGTAGAATTATAGTCAGGTCTATTAACCCTCATTTATTTACACACACACACACACACACACACACACACACACACATATATATATATATATATACATATATATATATTCCTTAATGCACATATTGATATACAATACTATATTAAGATGCATGGAGGCCTCCACGAATACATGTATAAGTCATACCTGTTGGTAACTCTGAATGTGACCCTATTTGGGGGGGAGATTTTTCAGATATAAATAACTTAACTGTGAGATGATATCAGCTAGAATTCCTTGGGAGGACCCCAAATCTCATAACTCACAGATGCCTTTGCAGAACTGGACCATGGGTTCATTTTATAGGTCTGTGAAAGAAGACAAAGAGGGAAATGCAGAGTCAGAGGTAGTGGTCCACAGGTTGTTCCCAGTTTCCCTTTGGTATCTACAGAGGTCTGCATCCAGTTCCTCCTGCCCCACAGCTAGGGCAAAACCTGCTAGTGTACAGGTTCCTTGTGGAAAAGGCTTAGTATTCCTTTTATGACCTATGTAAACTCTCTTGTATACTTTAATCAACCTCTTTTATTATATATGTTAGTTAAAATACCCAATACAGTTAGAATTATATGTGAAGAGTTGTTATACTCTATTGTTTCAGGAATAATAAATAAAAATACATATTAATAAATAAATAAATAATAAATAAAAAGTGTATTTTCAGTACAGCCACAGTAGGGCTATCCTACATAAACAGATGTGGAACCCAAGGAATCCAGCCACTGGTTCTGCTAGTTAAGGCATGCAGAATATTGTCAGCAGAGGCTGGAAGAAAAGAGAACAGAAAAAAGATTCCTTTATGGGGAATATGGCCCCACTACCACCTTTATTTCAGAGTCCTTGGCTCTATAGCTTCAAGAGAACAATTTTTTTTTTTTGCTTTTGTCCATGGGTTTGTGGGGGTTGTTAAGCAATCCCAAGAGTGCAATATGGACTGGCAAGTGAGATGCTGTTGTAGAAATGCTGAGAATGTGGAAATGTCTTGGAATGTAGTCCTTGCTAGAGGCTGGAGGTACTCTAAGGTGCCACAGAAGGTTGTCTGGGTTTTCTTGCGGAGGCTCGGTAGGAATATGGATATTATTGTGCTTTTTCTGAGGTCTCAGAAGGAAATGAGAAATGTGATACTGAAAACTGGAGAGAGACTGTTCTTTGCCAGGGAGTGGCAAGAAACCTGACAGAACAGGAAAGCAGAACTTGGAAGCAGTGAGCCAGTGTTTAGCTGAGTAAAGAAAGACATGTGGTTTGATTTCTATATCTTGCATGCAGCAAAAAAAGAGAGCAAAGCTGATAAACTCAGACAAAGCTGATGAACAAAGTGAAATTAGCATTTGATTATTTGTAGGGGTTTCTGACCTATTTATATTCCAAAGTGTGCTCAGGAGGGAGAACCCATAGCTCCTGGATAAGTTCTGTGTATGATTGACAGATCCACAAGATCCAACGTCCCAGTAAAGCCACTGGAGATACTCTTGTCCAAGGGGGACTGTAGAGGGCTCTCTTCTGTTCCTTCCCCTCTATACTTCACCAAATAGCCCTATGCACCTTTCATTTTCAATTTCATTTCCTTTATGATTTTTTAACAGTCTTACTATATTGTCCAGGCTGGCCTGAAACTCACTCTGCAGTTATGTTTTCCACTGACATGTATCCTGCTACATATAGGTGACAGACAATGTTTTGGGGAACTGCTATATTAGAAACAATGCTAATATAGGTTTGTTTTTGTTTTTGTTTTTTTTTTTAAAAAAAAAAAAAAAAAAACAAGGACAGAATGATGGTTTGAGGGATTTTGAGATTCTTCAGGCAGGAAGCATGTTGTGAGGATCAGTGACTGAAAACATATGCTGCCCCTCAAACAAAGGAGAATGTTTCCTAGGGCAGAACCACAGATGTAGAGAACAAGGTCAGAGAGGTGGATGCAGAGGGGAAGAGAGCAAGCTGTCAGACCTCTGAGAGCATTTCTGATGGTTTGGGTTTCTAAGTCGGTAGTAATTTGCACAGCAGCCCCGGGAAACAAACACATCCTCATTTCCTGAAATCTCCAGTTATAATTGGCATTCTATTTTCGGTAATAATTTAATCATCTTCCTCAACAGAATGTGTGACTGGCAGTTTCTCTTTCTTTCCCTTGCTTCTCCCTCTCTCCTTCCCTCTCCCTTCCTTATATACACATAAAAGCTACATAACCATAAAATAGACTAGAAGATGGGGTGACATAATGAAAATCATATTCAGGTGGCTCAAATTAGCTTTGAAGTCGACAGCACAGCTATGTGTGAACTCAAGGAAATGAAGTAGTCACCAAACCTACTTTTCTTAGGCTGAAGGTTTGCAGCAGGTAAAGTGCTTGCTAAACAAGCATGAGGACCTGGATTTGGACCCCTGGCATACACATAAATTGTGGGCATAGCAACACATCCCTGTAACACGAGTGGTAGGGAAACTGAGGCAGGCAGATTGGGGAGGCCCAGAGTAAACCCCAGGGTCAGTGAGAGCGCACTTACAAGGAACAGTGGAAGCAGTAGAGAAAGATATCCAAAGTTAACTTCTGGCCTCCAATGGTGCAAGGATAGTCCCATGGATGAGGACACACACACACACACACACACACACACACACACACACACACACACACACACACATACACTTTTTTTTTCTATTTTTCTTTTTGGTGTTTTTGAGAAAGGGTTTTGCTGCATAGCCCTGGCTGTTCTGGAACTCACTCTGTAGATCAGTCTGGTCTTCAACTCATCGAGATCTGCCTGCCTGAGCTTCCCAAGTTCGTGTGCCACCACCACCTGGCCACACAAACAGTTTTTTAAGTGTAGGTTAGAGATACTAGTTATATATTTGACACAAATTTTTGAGTTATAAAATACTTTAATAAGTTAAGCCTGGTCGTTAGTGACCTCTACTCTGCCCTTTATCCTGAGACAAATATCACAAAGAAGGGAAAAAACAGGTAAAGGTATAATCATGAGTTTAATGACTAAGAAGTTTAAACATTTAAACTGTTTTAAGTTCATATGGCAGAGTTGAGAGATTGGTCAGAGATATTATATCTGTTACAGTCTTTGTATTTCCTATTGGTTTATAAAGTTTACCTGATCATAATTATTAACACATTATGACATGCTCTAAGAGGGTTCTCCAAATGATCTTTATGCTGAGCAAATGTCTCCTCAGATGGAATTTGTTTTTGAACACACAGTAGATACACTCTGCTCCACTTCATGGGACATGGGAAGGGTGCCTGGACAGGACACGTGTCTTTGTACCAATTTCGTCTGCAACTTGAGTGTCTGTTTTTATGCATGTTCCAAATTTCGGAGGCTGATAACTGACCCTTCAAAGTTTTAATTAATTCTGAAATAATTATTCAGTAACTTTTCCAAAGAATAAAAAAAGTTCCCTTCCACTTTATACGGTGTCTTTTAAATATTTCTATTCTCGACACAGAACTTTTTCTAAAAAGATGACTATATTTTTACTTTTGCTTTGGGCATCTTAACCCTAGTTCATTAGTCTGAATATCTGGGTTTTGGTTAGAACACTAAAACAATAATGTGGGTGCTGGCTTTCAATCATATTCTTGAGTAATAAAAATGTTTCCACACATCCATCAACAGTTTTAACAATGAAAATATGCAATTTTCTTTCTGTTCCTTGCTTCATCTGGACATTTATTTTACTTTGGATTGTGCTGAAACAAATGTAAGTCATCTTATAATTTATCTTGTGGGTATTTTTATAAATGCTTCATATAGAATCTTCTTTTTTTAGTTTTATTTTTCCAATTTTGTTTTATTTTTTAATTATTATTATTTTTTTTTTACCTACCTACTACTGGTCTCCCTCCATCCCCTTCTCCTGTTCCTCGTCCCCAACCCACCCCCATCTCACCCTCTCATCCACTCTTCATAGGAGGTAAGGCCTCACTTGGGTAGTCAACACAGGCTGGCATACCAAGTTGGGGCAGGACTAAGCTCTTCCCCCCGGCATCAAGGCTGAGTAAGGCATCCCACCATAGGGCTCTAAAAAGACAGTTCATGTACCCAGGATAAATCCTGGCCCCATGGCCAGGGACTCCACAAACAGATCAAACCACACAACTATAACTCACATTCAGAGGGCCTGGTTTGGTTCCACACAGACTCCCTAGCTGTCAGTCCAGAGTCCGTGAGCTCCCACTAGCTCGGGTCAGCTGTCTCTGTGGTTTTTCTCATCATGATCGTGACCCCCCCCTTGCTCCTATAATCCCTCCTCCCTCTCTTCAATTGAATTCCAGGAGCTTTGCCAAGTGCTTGGCTGTGGGTCTCTGCATCTGCTTCCATCAGTTACTGGATGTAGGTTGTATGATAGCAATTAAGGTAGTCACCAATCTGAGCACATTAATCTTCCACCTTTTATTAAAGGCAGTTTGAGATAGGAATAGAATCTTCTTAAATGTAACCACATAGCCTCAACGTGTACAAAATAATTATTCTTTAAGATCAGTAAGTGTACATGATCACTTCCCCCAAATGTGCAGCCACATAATATTTTACAAATATTTTTCAAATTTTCATCTACTGATATGTATAGTTTGTAGTTGAATTTTTATATAGGGTTTCCTTCCCTCTCCTTATCCATGTCTATTCACCTATTGAAGAAATTAATGACAAGAACTTCATGGTCCAATATATTTCTCTTTAACCTCATGTTGCTATTTACATTTTGATGAATTAAAATGTAAAGAATTTATCATAGAATTAAGCATATTCATAAGATACTACAAGAGGTATACTTCGGGCATGGAATAGTCCTGTGTGGTCACTGTACAGTACAGTGCAGATAAAGACAACTGAACCAGTGTTGCAGCTCTCATGGAGAACAGAACTCTTGTTTCCCTGAGCTCTTATTTTTCTGATCATCTCCCTATATGTCCCTTAATATTATATGGCTCTTCCTGTCTCTTTCCAGTGACATCCAAGCATTGACTATATTTTTGTTCAATACTTTGCTAAGTCTGCTACATTGGTTTTTTGTTGATTACCTACATCAGGTGGCACATGAGATCTTGTTGTCTCTCTCTTATGACTATTATAGTCACTGCCTTGTATTTTTAGTACATTTTTGTTGTTCCATAACTTCCTCAATTTCTTCTTACTTTGATATTACTCTTACCTGTAGAATCATAGTAGATGCATGAAGAATTCAGCAGATATTCTTTAGAATTTTATCTTAATCCGTAGTACTCTTTCTGGGGAAGTAAAAGGAAATTATCCAATAATTTACCTTTACTATAGATTTTAGCTCACATTTTATATTGTAGCATTGGAGGTAATTGGGTCTTACCTTTCTTGGTGACCATTACTTTCTTTATTACTCGCTGTATTAAACACACTTTTTTACAATAGAAATCTATAAGAGAATATATTTTATTATTGATATTCAATAAATGAGCATCTACAATTTACTTTTATGATCTCAAACTTTGCTGAGATCATAAGTAACTTTTTTCTGGACCTAGATTCATAATGACACAGTGAACAACTGTGGTGGCGTTTTGGAAGCTAGAAGGCAGATGGGCATGGACCGCCCACATAGCCAACACTAACCTGGAAATAGAAAACACTGTGAAAGAACCAAAATGAAACCCACATTTCCAAAAATTTTAGGAACTAGTAGTGCATGTGGAAACAGGAGTGAAGCAATTTGTCATTAAGGAAGATATGGTAATGTGCAAAAATAAGTTCCCATGTAAGCACTCCTGCACTGAAGACATTGGTATCTGGAGTAGACTGTGCTCTGGGGGTCAGTTTGCTGGTGAAAGCCAGGTTATATGCACTTTACTCTTGGGATAAATGCACATTGTTATATGGAGAAGAAAAAATAACCATTTGCATGCAAATTCTGGTGTTTTTCTCCTTAGCTTCATTTAGCTTCTAACATGGACAACCAGTCTTCTATCCCTTCGCAGGAGACTAGCTCCATCTCTGGGGCATTTGCCTTTTCGTGAGATAAGGAAGAAATGATAGAATTTCACTCTAGTGGGCCTCAAGTTTGCAGCCCCTCTGCATCTCAGAGTATCCAGTCTGCCTTTGCTCCCACTGTCTACTCTTCATCATGAGCAAGCACATGTGTTAAACAGACATTTTGTGGAAAACTTCTGATAGGAATATACAAACAACAGGGAACAACTGGAATGAAAAGAACTTACAGAGCGTGAAACCTTCACACTGACATCTTCAGAGTGACAACAGAAAGTCTTGCAAACTGAGCATAGTGGCACATATTTGCCATCAGGAGGCAAGGAGCTCAGGAATCCAAGGCCAGCCTGGGCTACACAGGTAGATTATGCCTAGTTTTAGATCACATAGAAATGTAGAAATGAAGCACAATACACATGAATATACATACAGAGAAAAAAGACAGACTTTATGAGGCAAGAACAAAGTGAGATTAAAAAATTCAGAGACTATTAAAAATTTTAAAACAAACTATGAGAACATTATAACAGAGTTAATGAAGTCTCTTAAAAATCTGCTTTACTTTCCAAGAGTATTTATCAGAAGGCACAAATTTTAGTTACATTAAATGTGATGCTGAGGATGGTCTCCTTGTGGAAGCCAGTCGGCTCCTGATTTTCTTGTTGCCTCTTTTTCTATCCTACACTACAGCAATATGACAAAGATAGCCTAAGGATACTCCGCCCTTTGGCCTTTCTTTCAGGAATACAAGCATAATCATTTTTCCCATCTTCAGAAATGCTAGACACCTTAGAAAGAGTGATGCTCTGTAAATTCCAAGTGGCACATGGAGTTGCTGGCAGGGAAAAAAGACATGGGTTGCCAGCTTGGAAATCAAACAAATGCCATAATTAGCATCCTAAGATATGCAGGGATGGACTTTCCTTGTCTGCAGTGGGATTTAGATGTGACTCATTTCAGCTGTGAAGACTGTTTAACAATGTATAATACAGACAAAAGTGAAAATATAAGAGCTAAAAGGAAGATTCTGTGTGAGATTCTGGACATCCCCATGTAGTCATTCCCTCAATTTTCCCTGCAGTTCAGGCAGACATCTTTCCGGCATATAGCATTGGACATTTTTATACTCAGACAAATGGTAAATTTTACAGCATTCTGCCAGCAAGTCAATTTTCCTTACCTCCCCTAGAAGATAAATAAGCCCACCTGTTATTCAGAAGAGATATGAAGAAAGATGTCCTTGATGACATAAGTTATCAACTGGCCAGGTAGTAATAGATACAGCCTGGTAATGGTCTTTAGGGGAGATGGGTCCAGCAGACCTGTCTTAAAGTGGTATACTCAACAATGAGTGAGAACATAAATGAATACAGCTACATAATACCGCAGAACTCAAGAGACCCAAATTATCTATATACCTAGAATATATAATTTTTTTACCCACCCATAGAAAAGAGATCACATAAATAAAAAGAAAATTAGACAAAAGACAGTTGTTTTCACACAACAGTGTAACCTGACAGTAATAAACATGACAAAGTATCCAATTTCATTAGTTTTCTAGAAAAAAAAAGTTAAATTCTCACATAAATATTACTGTTTAGCAACCACAATGGGTAGAATGAAGTGAATTGTTGGTGAGATTACAGAAAATTAGTGACCTTATATATCACCAACAGAACTATAAATTGTACCATTTCTTTTTAAAACTCAATGGTAAGTGCTATAAAGAATATATTTCATATATATATATATATATATATATATATATATATATATATATGCCATTCCACTCCTAAACATATGCCAAAAAGGAAGTACCAGCAAATGATATGCACAATAAAGTTTAATATTAAAAATCACCTTCCTGTAACTCTAGCTCCTGTGGATTCTGATTTCCTCTTCTGGCCTCCATAGACCACTGTTCTCTCATATACATATACACACATAGGCATGCATGCACACAATAATAAATCTTTAAAATGTGATGGTGGAATTACTTATCCAGATAAGGCAAAACTGGAAAAATGTATCTTCGACATGCACTGATAAACCAATTCCAGAAAGACTGAAAATCTAATTAGCCACATTGTATACCTGCTTCACAACATTATAAGACTATCAGCTGAAACAATATCTTTAGAAAAAATCTTTCAGCTTTGTAGCTAGAGTTTTCCTGCCTTGCCCACAGTCAGGACAAATCTTTGTCACCCACCAGTCCCATAGCCGCTCAGACCCAACCAAGTAAACATAGAGACTTATATTACTCATAAACTGTATGGCCATGGCAGGCTTCTTGCTAACTGTTCTTTTATCTTAAATTAACCCATTTCTATAAATCTATACCTTGCCACATGGCTGGTGGCTTACTGGTGTCTTTACATGCTGCTTATCCTGGCGGTGGCTGCAGTGTCTCTCTGCCTCAGCCTTCTGCTTCCCAGAATTCTCCTCTCTCCTTGTCCCACCTACTTCCTGCCTGGCCACTGGCCAATCAGTGTTTTATTTATTGACCAATCAGAGCAATTTGACATACAGACCATCCCACAGCACAGCTTGGCAGCAGTGGCACATGCCTTTAATCCCAGCACTTGGGAGGCAGTGCCAGGCAGATCTCTGTGAGTTCAAGGCCAGCCTGGTCTACAGAGCAAGATCCAGGACAGGCACCAAAACTACATAGAGAAACCCTGTCTCAAAACAACAGCAACAACAAAGAATCAATCTTTCTATATTAAGAATAAATTTACACAAAGGAAAATCTGATGGGGATAAGCAACATGTTTAACAGAAGATGACTTTTAAAATAAGTGAGGTGAAAAGTTTAAGGTCCCAGTTCCAAGGGAAATAAATGGTTAACTAACTGAATGCCTAACAATAATAAGCAGATTATATAAACCTTTACCAAGATTTGAAAGTAAAGTGCATTAAATATGTAGACAATTAATGAGTAAAAGATCAAATAGCATTTATGCATCCCATGTTAATAAATTATATAGACTAGAAATAATACCAAAATAAACTTCCACCTTACCTGACTTCTCAAAACATGGTGTTGATTACATTACACATATTATTTAATTTCATTTTTTATTATAAGTATATATTTGTGTTGATAAAGTTGGTTGTTAAAAATCACCAAGTGACTCCTGATGAATAGATACTATCTCATTCACCTTTGAATTTCCAGATTCTAGCATCAAATATATTCAAATAATTTGCTTCTATGTAACTGTGAAAATTAATAGTTACCAGAAATATTATTTTTAAAAGGGGAAAAAGGAGGTTCTGGGTATAAGGGAACAGTGTACTCGAAGTAAACATTTGAAAACAAACAAACAAACAAAAAAAAAAACCTTGGCATGCCTGAGACCCAGCTCTGAGTCTGAGCTCCTCCCCTAGGGCCTAGTCATCTTGGTCACTATTAGATATTAGCTGGGCATTAGAAATCACAGTGAATTGTTTTGAGCTTCCTCACCTTTGACTCTGCTGGCCTGAGGAGGGAGTGACGAAGAAACTATGACATCCTGTCAGTGACTGTACTAGTCCTTCAGTGTGCTTAGAGCCGGACCTCTACCCCAGGAATGGAGAACATCTTTTGAGCCAGCAAATGATTATGAAATGAAGAAACAGTCTCAGGTCAAAGATAAAATACAGGACAGTAAAGCTTGATACCATGGGATACTGATGAGGGGAAGCACTTTCAGCAGAACCCCTCAGTTTCAAATTTCTTCTAAGAAAGAGATTTTATAGAAATATTGGAGGTGATGAGAGGAGAAAGTTAGATTACTATAGGCTGGTTTTCAAAACTTATAGAGACTGTAGGCTGTTTATTATCTTCCTTTTGTAAGGAATGTTACTTGTAATTTTTCTTTGCCCTCTTTACCTTTGGATGCCATATACGGGAAAACACTTAACCTATTTTTCAAATCTACAAATCTTCACATTAAGAGAAACTGGAAACTGTACTCAGGGAGTCTTATTCACATCTAGATCTATTTTAGATAATTAATCTAAAATGTGAAATTACTGTTAAGTGGAATAAAAGCTGTAGAGGAAGTGAGGAGGATGCAAGGAGTTTCATGTGGGAGAAATCTAAATAATTTGTGACCTCAGAAAAGACTATCTCTCATATACTAAGAGTGAGAAAAATTCCTTGGCACTCATTCCATTGAGTGAGTGGTCAGGTGGATGTCTTCACTATGAATTTTGGCTAGTGTAAGATCAATTTGATTAACAAAACAATATTGTGTGTGGTGCGTGCATGTCCATGCCTGTGCATGCCTGCTTGAGTACACATGCACACATACATACACATTTATGCATATGTTCTGGGCCCTGCCTTTTTTTAAAATGAAAATGAACTACTTTCAGTCTGAAATTCTAAGCATCATGTAATATGTCCAGTTACATTACTGGGAAGACCCTTTTGAGAGG